TTTGCTGAGGGATTTTCATCTATTACATCTCCATTAACGGCTTTAACCCAAAAGAAGTCCGAATTCGAATGGTCAGAATCATGTGAATAGAGTTTCCAATTACTGAAAGATAGACTCCCCTCCCCTCTAGTATTTTAACTTACTAGAGGCTACAAAATGCTTTGTGATTTATTGTTACGCTTCCCGAATGGGTCTAGGATGTGTGCTAATGCAACGTGGTAAAGTCATAGCATATGCCTCTAGACAACTCAAGCCACATGAGAAGAATTATCCAACTCATGAACTTAAACTTGCAGCTATGGTATTTTCCTTAAATATTATGAGACACTATTTATATGATGTTGACGTGTTCATGGATCATGAGAGTCTAGAATATGTAGTCAGTAAAAAGACTTTAATTTATGCCAAAGAATAAGGTTATAGCTTTTAAATTATTAAGATATGAGTGTCGTTTAATATCCTAGGAAAGATAATGTGGTGGTGAATGCTTTGAGTTGAGTATCCATGGGTAGTGTGACACATGTTGAAGAGGTCAAGACAGAGCTAGTAAAAGTGGTTCATAGGTTGGATCGTTTGTGTGTCTGACTAGAAGATTATCTAAAGGGTGGTGTCATGGATCACCATCCAACCGTCTCTAGTGGTTGGGGTGAAATCCAAGCAACAACTTGACCCTCTATTGATGAAGTTAAATAAAATGGTCCTTAGTAAATCTAATGAGTACTCCCTAAAGGAGAAGATGGGGTACTTAGGCACCAAGAAAGATTGTGTGTATCAGATATGGATGGGTTGAGAGAATTACTCATGGAAGAGGCTCATAGCTCCCGATACTCTATTAACTCGGGTGGCACAAAGATATATTATGACATATGACAAACATATTGGTGGATCGTATTAAAAGGGACATAGAAGATTTTGTTGCTGATTTTCTGAATTACCAACGGGTAAAAAATAGAGCACCAAATGCCGGGTGGCTTTACTCAAAATATAGACAATCCGACATGGATGTGGGAGGATATTAATATGGATTTCAGAGTTGGGATTCCTTGTACCCGAAGCCAACATGACCGGATATAAGTCATTGTGGATAGGTTGACCAACTCCGCATACTTTCTTCCCGTCAAAGTCACGTATTCGGCAGAAGATTTTTCCCAGTTGTACCTCAAAGAAGTAGTGAGGTTGCATGGATCCCCTTTATCCATTATTTTAGATAGAGCTACTCAATTTACCTCCCATTTTTTAAAATCTTTCAAAAGTGAGATTGGTACGAAGGTGAAACTTAGTACCGCTTTTCATCCCAAGTCAGATGGTTAAGTGCAACGCACTATTCAAATACATTAAAACATGTTGAGGTCTTACATAATTGACTCCAAGGGTAATTGGGATGACGACCTACCCTTTATAGAATTCTCCTACAACAATAGCTACCACTATACAATCTCCATGGAACCCTTTGAGGCACTTTATGGGAGGAGGTGTTGATCCCCAGCTGGGTGGTATGAGGTAGGTGAGATTCACATACATGATCCTGACTTGGTATATGAAGCCCTTGAGAAAGTTTGCGTTATAACAGATCGACCAAAAGCATCTCAGAGTGGACAAAACTCTTATGCCGACATTAGAAAGAGTGACCTTTAGTACGAAGTAGGAGATTGGGTCTATTTGAAATTTTCACCCATGAAAGGGGTGATGAGGTTCGGAAAGAAAGGGACGATTACTCCTCGTTATGTGTGCCCTTATGAAATTGTAAAGTGAGTTGGGAGTGTATCCTATAAATTGAAGCTACAAAATTAGTTGGCCATTATTCATCCAATATTTCATGTATTTATGCTTAAGAAGTTTATAGGAAATCCATTGTCCATTATTCCTCTAGAATGTTTAGGGGTAAGAGAGAATTTTTCTTATTAAGAGATACCGGTTGAGATCTTGGACTGCCAAGTTAATAAATTGACAAATAAGGAGGTTGTCTTCGTAAAGGTTCTATGGAGGAACAACCTTGTTGAGGGAGCAACATGGGAGGCCAAGGCCGACATGAAGACCCGATATCCTCATCTTTTCCCCTTTAAACCTAGAAATGATATCGTAGAAATTCATGGCTAAGTTGACTTCTTTTCATTCCATGAAATATGTTTATTATGTGGCTTTCACTTGAGTGTGTTGTTTGATATAAGTGTTCATGGAAGACTATAATGAGCATCTTTTATATTTTTTTGATAAGAAATCAACATGTCAACTCTTACTGTTCATATTTAGCTCATATTGAAATGGAGAAGGTTGTACCTCCTTATGTTATATGAAAAGTTGAGTTTTGTTAATGGTATGTGTAGATTAATTTCCTTTTTGTTAATTCTATGTTTATATGTTTAAAGAAGCTTATATTCCCTCCTATGATATGTGACTCATTATTACGTTGTTGTTTGGTTAGCTGCTAGTTTTTAGTCTTTCCTTCTATAGAAAGGTTTGGAGTGTTATTCGGGGACGAATATTCCTAAGGGAGAGAGTATTGACACACACGGAAATTTCTATGACCTATAGTAGATCTTTATATGTTTAATAATGATGGTTTAACACCTACATCAGTGTAAATAAATTGTTTGAGAAGTTTTTGAGCCATAGGATTAAAAAAAAGCATTAACGTCCAGAAACTAGATAATTCAACTATGTTGATGTCCCTATGTTTGAGAAGTGTTTCCTAGGGTCAAATAAAGTATAAAACTTTTAAAAAGCTTTGTATAGGTATAATGTAGTATAGAGAGTCTAAACATCTGATTAAAACACTCCAAGGACTACCGGAAGGGTCTTTGTGAAGGAACCTAACATGTATGGGTAGGCCGCAAAAGCAGACTGCAAAAGTCAAGAATCGGAGGGATTATGTGCGAAACGAAGCCAACACGGACCTCACTACCTCAAATTATTTTGGGAAATAAAAGGTGTGTAGCCCGCAACGCGGAGAAACTTCTCTGTCTCGTAAATAGTCATATTTGGGTGTTTTGACTTCACAAATAAACCCATTAAAGTGAGGGGTATTTTGGTAAATTTAATGGGTGAATATATATGTATTAGGGTCAATTGTAGTTCCATTCTAACACAAAAATAAACTTCCAGAAGTTGAAATCAAAAATCACTCTCTCTCTCTTCCGAATTCTCTCCTCCTAAAAAACTCCACTGAAGGCCATTAGAGCTCCAAGAAGAGGATCAATACTTCAAGATTTCTAACCCAATTTTGTGTCTTTATCATCTATAACGTATTTTTTCTTTCACTCTTTGTATTCCCTTACAAAGAGGTCCTCCAAATGATGATTTCTAAATCCCCAAAACAAGGATTTTTCTCCTCACATGGGTGTTCTTTCTAAAGTGAAACTGTGAGTTAATTGTAATGAATTATGATGAATTAACGTTGTTTAGGTATGAGTTAATGGTTAATTGATGAATTCCTATGAGTTTTACCTTTACCCGTGTCTTTTCCCTAAATCCCTAATTTCTTTGATTGATTAAGGGTAATGTTTGAGGGTGCTGAACATGTCATTTTTTTACATTGATTTTATTTATGTTAATATTTCTTGAATTTTCATATTTCATATGTTGGTTGTGATTTCTTTGTTATTGAAGTATGAAGTCCCATGAAGGGTAGTGAGTAGGACCTTGATTCTCCTATGATCTCAATTATGCAAGGTGAAATCTACTTATGTGATAATGATGCGATAGCTAATTGTGTTGTTGTTATGTTTGTAATGAGGATCTGTCATACCTAACCCTAGATGTATGAATTGTCTATCAAGTATGTAATTATGTTATGGTATGATCATTATAGGATTGAATATAGCTCCTCATGATTATAATGTTATGTCTAAAGTGAAAGTATTGTTCTCATTTGTGATCACCTATGAGCTATCATGATAACATGTTTACTTAAAGGTCTAAAAGAGAGTGATATTTACTTGTACGATATTATATGATTATTACTAAAGTGATTCAATGCTTAGTACCGAAAGGGAATGTAAATGAGTAGGAGTTCTCTCGTTAGTAAGTTCGACCTCCCACATGGGTTTCTTTGCGACTAGTAGGGTTGATTCCCAAGATATGTGTTGTTTCATGATATGGAAACCTTCACGATTAGTAGCTAAGGTTTCTAGAAACAGTCTCTTTCTCCCTTAATAATGTACCCAGATAGGACTCTAGATTTGTGGATCCACCAATAATAGCTATGTACGAATAGTTTATCCTTAGGCCAGTGTTAACCCTCTCTTTTAGGAGTGGGGGTAGAACACCGGACTTCATGTAGATCCCATGGTGTCATGTCGGTTATGGTACTTATTTCCGTAAAGTAAAGGTATGAACAAGTTATCTATTTGAACTTCCATTAGAGTTGTCCTAAAAGTTACTACATCGTATAAGGGAGGGTATGGGATTATATTTATGATAATGTTGATAAGCTATGACAAGTATTGGTATATGACGCACATTATATATTAGAATAAGTTGTAAATATGAAATGAATTGCTTAAAGTGATACATAACTTTGGATAGGGTTATGGTGTTTTATTCTTGGGTTACTTCTATGTTTATATGATTATGATGTTCGTTATATATTTACATTGAATTGTTGGTCATTGTGCATAGTTATGACTAAATTGTGCCTTTTCTCATGAATTAACGATTTTTATGCATATGAACCATACATAATATGTGGTTTGTACTAACTCATATTTCTTCCTTTTTTCCCAAATATTTTAGGTTTGGGCTATTGAGGAGATTCGTGGTTGTCACACCCCGTATTCTATAATCTGAATGCAACAGGCATCGTTAACCTCTCACATGTCGCATACAAGCCTCTTCTTAGCTTTCATCACAATCATACGGTTAAATTTGCAAAAAAAATTAAATTAATACTTATGTAAGTGTACGTAGACTTAATATTCTACTGCATAAGAGTGATATTATAATGAGCTCAAATAAGCAACAATCTCTCAAAAGATTAAACAATTAAAATAAATGATCTTCTTAATAATAATAATAATTTGCCAATAGGCCTTATTACAAATTGTTGAACAAATGTTTGAAATGACACAATAGGGACAGAAGCCACTAGCCATATCTAATGTACTAATCTAGAATAATAAAAAGTAGCATCCTCGAACTTAACAAGACCTAAAATAGTCTGGAGATCGCTAATCCAAACGTCTTCGTCAAGTCTTCAATCTTCTTTAGAACTTGCACCCATAAAAATAGTAATAATATATGGGGTTAGTACACACTTGTACTAAGAATAGGTGCATGCACATAAACACGTAAGGACTATCAATAATCAAGAAAAACTCTTTCTAAAGCAACATGTCGTTTTTAGAAAGTTAAGTCACTTTACTTTCTTAATTCGTTATTTGTGATTTATGCTATGAATATGACATGTTCCCACGCAATCAAGGCACAAAACTCATTTTCTATAAGAACATAAGACCTCGGAATCATTAGCATAATTTTAGAACAACTTAAATTAAACTTTATAATTTTTCTCCCTTAGGACGAGAGCTCCTATTCCCAACCTTAGTTTATTTTTCAGTCTTTTCTTCTTTCTATTGTGTAGTTCAATGATCTCTTTTGATCCTATATTTTACTTATAAGTACAATGATTCATTATAGTCCCATAATTACAATGAATCGAGTAAATAATTCACAAGACTAAGCAAACGATTTGGCTACCTTACTTATAAGTTAAATATTTCATTCTTAAATCGGGTATGAATGTATTTATAAGACAATCATTATTTGCTATGACTATTAAATAGTTGTCTACCTTATATGTAATCTTTGAGGAATATATTTATACTCAAATATAGGCATAAACCACGAACTTGTTAAAACTTCATTCTTGTCAACATTAATGATTGACATTCTTAATCTCTTTCTTTACTTAGTTCATTATGAAATTACATTTCTACTTCTTTGCCATGTTGTTCACTTTGAACATGCTACTGTCATTCTTTCGTACTCTCTTCAAGAATCTTTAGCATAAAAATAAGTTGATCATTCAAGCTAACATGAAATGAAGTGTCTCCACAAACCCAAAAGGGGTGGCTCACTGGTTAAGGCGAACCAAGTTTAGTGTCAACTTCACACCGAAAAGGTGGGTTCATCTGCTAAAGCATAACAAAGTCAGTGTCTTCCCCACACAGTAAAGAGGGATTCACGACAGAAGTGAACCTAATACTTTCCTGAGATTTAGCCGAAATAGATCATGTGGGATAAATATGAAATGCGATGTCTCCCAAACACCGAAGAGAGGTGGAATCACCGGCCAAAGTGAAACCGAACTTATAGCATTGTTGGGCGGAGGCTTCCACCTGATAGTATCACTATGCTGGAAAAAATAGTTCGAAGACTAGGAGACACACGGGGACCCTAGTCAACTTTGGTGGTGATCTCGTCTCATGAGGCTTACATGTGCTGGCACAAGCTCATTGCTAGTCTATCTTTGCTAAGATCAGATCTATTTTACTTTATTATCTCTTAAAGTTTGAATTAAACATTATGAAAGCTTGCGTCTAGTTATGAGGTTTACTTAACTATATGGATGACTGGTCATCCCTTTATTTTCTTTGATGAATATGAACTTAAGTCTTACATTATCATCATGGTGCAACTGAGACTTGTCTTACGGACTCTACAACCCTATTATGTGAATATTTTTTACAGAATCGATTAAGTGTAATTTAGACTCGTCTCACTTCTTTCAACACTCTATATTAGGTAAATTTCATAACGTAATCATTTGGTTATTTCATTACTCACCTTAACTTGTTTGACGTTAACTGGTAGTTTTGTACAATTGTTTATTAATGCTATAACTACTAATGCAATGCTATTACGTTCAGAAGTTCGTGCGGGTAGAGTATGTTGGGAATTGTCCCTTTGATAGGCATTCCCAATGTTATGAGTTCATTGATGTAGAGATTCGTATGACTTATACATGATTTCAAAATAATATGCTTGGACATAGTTTTGCTAGCCAATTTGTTGGCATAAATCATAATTTCACTAGATACTTGTCATAACATTATCACTAGCGATGCAAATTATTTCATACATACATTATCATAATCTATCATGCTAAATAATCCAACTTTTAACCTTTTTATCAGCATATGAAAAAATTCAATGAACAATTTATAACAATTTTATTTTCTCGAACACAAGTAGGCGTTATAACATTTAATATTCAAGTAAATAACACCCTAAGTATGCGGTTCAACTGTGTAGGTTTCATTCGAGATTAAAATAAAAAAAACATACTCATAAGAATAATATAACACCACATACAAACAACATGCTCAAAATTTACTTCATACAAATTGAAAGAATAGGAAATTGGGAAAACTAGGGAATTGAACATGCGATTCATTGGGAACAACCCTAGTTTCGATATTCTTGATTAAAAGATGTTTGAAAAACGTCTTAACGAAATAATTCCAGGAGATAAAACACATACCTTACTATAGAATTGAATCCATGAAGATCACGTTGCACTTTTTCACGAAAACTGTGAAGAACTTCTTGAAATCGCCTAAGGAGAACTTTTATTTGTCTTGCGTTTATGTACTGCTTTCAAGTCGTGCGTTTATTAGTGAATGATCATGATTCTATGTCTAGGAACTGAATATTTAGTAATTTAACTTAGAGTAATTAACTTAATTAATGAATAAATCCACTAATTTACTAAAACGCCCCTACTAAATTGACTAGAATTAGAAGAACACTTGACTTATCCGAAACCTGGAAATATCATAGTGGTTTAGGTTTTCACAAGATAAATTAATTAATTAAGTTGATAATTTATTTAATTATGTAATCTAGGGTAATTAATAAAGTACCCCTAATTTCTGAGGACCATAAAAAACCCTTCGGACCATCCTAGGTTACGTACTATGATGTTTCTTAGTTAGTTACTTATCTAGTGTAAGGATTTTTGTTTGACCATTTAAATTAATTAATTAAGTCTTTAATTTAATTAATTAAGTTACATAGGGGTAATTACTAAAGTACCCTTAAGTCACTAGCACCATAACTAAACCTTTTGGACCATCCTAGTTTAGGTACTAAGATGCTTCTTTTGTTAATTACTAGGTTAGTGTCACCCGCTTAGGTCTTAGGTTGTCGGGTACACTAATTAGTTAATTTAGGTTATCCAAGCTTAATTAGATAGTTAGGTAACTTATTTATATCGTAGAGTTTGTTAGGAAGTTCAGCCCCACATGTGCGCCTACCCTTTACAGCCCTAACAACCCTAACCAAATTCTTGGACATGTGCTTGCACATGGATTGCACATGTGTTGCGGCTCATTTCTGTTTTCCCAAGGATTCTAACTATATCCTTTGGCACTGCTTACTCTACTTGATAAATTTAAATGATCATGTGCTATGGTACCTAGGCTTGACAACTAGGATGCCTAGTACATAATGTGTTAAGTTGAGAATCAATTATTTTATCTTAGGGTCTTCATTGTAGGTACGTTATTTAAACATGCTTGGATTATATTTTAAATACTTGTGTAAACATAAAAATTGGCTAACACCCTTAAGACAATATGCTATAATATGCCCAATATTTCTCAATATTGCGCATTGGGATTCCTATATACTCCAATACGCATTCATAGAAACTTACTAGGCTCTTCACTAGACATGTACAATTTCTAAAATGTTACAGTGGTTATTGAAGAAGAAGACTTGTCTCATTCCTAAGTCAATTTGTGAGTCCCAATTGGTTTTGAGGATAAATACACTTATCAAGCCTTATTAATTTGTCTATGTTTTTACAAAATTATTCTATTCTCATGTTTAGACTTCCATTGTAGCCTATACGCATATTGTAATAGACTAAGGGTTATGCCCAAACTATTATGATTCACTTTGTAGATGGTTCAATGTGAGACAAATATTAGACTAAATTCCTATGCGTTCTTATGATCTGTTGGGAGAAATTTATGTATGCTTCCTATGTAGAGGTCTATGTAAACCTCCATGCTATATAAGCAAAAATTTGTAATTTTTCTGCAATTCTTATTTATGATTTGTTATGACGAATGCTAAGAGGCTTGTCTTAGTCCTCATAGAGGACGACGGCGGCGGTTACGCCTAGGGGGTACTTTGGGTCGCACCACAACAAGTAAAAAATTATGTATCAGAGCAAGGTATAAGATTCCTAGGATATCTGAAAACCACAATAAGTAAAGTCTCATTCATGGGTGTGAATTGCACCATACGTCTAGAGGGAGGCTAAATTCACTCTCCTTTTTATTTCTATCATGCGTGGATATGATCCAATTGTCTTTTCTAATCCTTTATTCTGTGTTTCATATCGTGTGTCCTCATAGATGTTATGCACGAAATGTTAAAGCACCTAACTATAATGCCATTTATTTACTCTATAAACATTAGGTTACGAATACACAAAATAGGAATGTGATCCAACTCTTAAATTAGAGTCTAGCCAACCGGAGAAATTAGCAGTTCCAAGTACATATAAACACAAAAAGTGGTTTTGCTACAACAAGGTTTTGACATTTTGTTCGCAAGAACTGTGTGAGTTTCTAGTTTTGTAGGTAGGTGAGGACCCACATAACATTAGTTATAAAATTTAGAACATTTTTTGGGAGATGCTATTGACTGGTAATTATATGGTGGATTTTGTATCCTACATGCTAAAGAATGTGTCTCACATATGATTCACAAAGTGGAAGGACAACATTGGTGCGGTTGCAACTAGTGTGACATGGGATTGTTTTACTAGAGTTTTTCTTGATACGATCTTCCAAATGGAGTTTACAGTAACTAAAACATAGGAGTTTATGATCATGAAATAGATTCCAATTTTAGTCTAATAATAGTGACATAAGTTCACCGAGCTTTCCACGTATGCTCTACACATCGTTCTCATCCAAGGGCTCAAATTAGTATCTTTTTGTTTTGGGTATCCGATATGGTAAAGACTAAGTGAAGTAATGCTATATTGTTAAGGGATATGAATAACCTAGTAATATGAATCATGCTCAGAAATTATGGGATATACGTTTAAGGAACTGAATAAGGACTATAAGAAGGTTAGAAGAGGGAATTTAAAATAATCTAAGAAGAATTCGAGTTACGGGAATTGCTCATGGTATTAGCAGAGGTCTATAGCACATGACCTTTATCATATAGTTCTACATCTATCACGACCGGAGTCTAGACCCCAGACGATACCGGCGTCGTTGACCTCACTGAGGTCGCAGACAAGCCTACATACGTCATCCTTACTTCATCTAGGTTAATTTTAGCGGAAAATTTTAACTTTTTGTTACTTAACATTAATATAAGACATTCTATTTAAATCATAAACGTTCACAATCAACCATCTAATATTAATATCATCAAATGGGTGAAATAGTTGCACACTGCATTAAGTGTATACTTGCCAAAATTGCACCAATACAAAGTCAGATATAAGATGAGAAAGAAACGCTAGTGGAACATACTCCACTAAATCAAACCTATATCTAAGCTATAGTATAATGGGCAAGCGTCCAACAAAGCATGAGAGCCTACCAACATTTCCAGCAAGCTTGAAATTTTGTCTCTTTCAATTCATCTTTCTCTCATGTTTAATGTTGATTCTTGGAGTAATTAGGATGACATTTTTCCAGAAACATTACCCTTATATGAACATCACACTTTTAATATTTACATATACAAAAACACAACGTTTATAACATACAAATTTTAGGCAGCAACATAGTTATTTTACAGCACACCCAGCTCAAACAATTAATGTAAATCATTTTTCCAGAGTTCATCTATCATTCCTTACATTATTTCGAAATACACATTCAATATATAATCACAACAAGACATAAATAATCTACCAGAAGACATACCAACACATGCTTTGAAACTCTAAAAGGATCTAATGACAAGGGCATGAAACGGGGACAACCTTAGTTTTTAAATTACGATTAAGCTGAACCTTAAGGGTATCGTGGGAAAGGGCCAAGACATAAGAAAACTCATACCTTGATGTCGTTCAAAACTTGTTTCAATGCTTCCAATTTCCCATGAAACCAAGCCTCACCACCGAAACTTCAAGTTCAATCCCGTCAAGAACTTTGTTTTGCTTTATGTTTTTAGACTAACTTTTCCTTTGAGTTTTTAGCATTCATGTTATTGATGGAGTTTGTTATTTTTGATCTGTTCTTTTGTGTTACAGAATGCATAAGCGTCAAAGTGAGAGAGGATTAGATAAAAACGTGAGAATGAGTGGATTAGGAATATGAGAGTTAGGTGTGGACTTAGTCAAACTAGGACTCTTCATTATTTATTAATATTTTTATTATTAATACTATTATTATTATTATTATTATTATTATTATTATTATTATAATAATAATAATAATTATTATTATTATTATTATTATTATTATTATTATTATTGAAAATATGATTTTTCCTTGAATTAAATCAACAATTAAATATTAATTTATTAAATTAACTCAACAATTAAAATAAATCAAATTAAATCGTTGCTCCCACCTAGCCTCGAACCCGGGTGGAGCTAGATTTTGCTTAAAGGGCGAATATCGTCCCTTTCTACCCAAATTTCCCCTTAACCATATTAGTTAATTAATTAATTAATTAATTAGGGTAATTTCAATACTACACTTTGCCTGTAAAAGACCATTTTACCCCTAGACCCTCCAAACATAAAATTACCCCTTTTTTAAGTTCGGTTAAGACTCATACGGGTAAATATTCATATTTGGGTGCCATACATGAATGGACCCAGCCTTTTTACTAACAACTGACTCACCAAGTTAGTTCGATTGGCTGTTGCAGAGGTTCAAAGGTCTTGTTCTACGCGCATCAATTCGTATGAACTCAGTCTAATCTAGGCATTCTAGATACATTAGACATTACTTAGCATAGTAACTTTTAGGGTTATAACATCCACTAGGTTCCTAAGCATCAAAAAGGTAAGGAAGAAAGATCTATGTCTCAAGGGAGTAATTAAAGTAGCAGGACTTTCCTAACCTGTCCAAAATATTATATGAACCATTCTGGGGAGTGTCTTGCAGGAACGGAATGATGGTTTTGGTGAGGTAAGTGTGTAATTAGTTGAGGGATTTCCCTACTACTAGGTAGGGGCTAGGAGAATAGTAGGACTCATTCTACATGTCTAGCAGAACAAATTGATCGCAAAATGTAGTTGGGTATGTCATCTTATATAGGTCGTGGTCAGTGCCAAAAAAGGTTGTATGCTCTCACGGCTCGCCAAGAATAGGAAGATTATTATGATATGGTCATTTGTATGATACGAATCTTTCATTTAGCTGTTTATGATTTTTAGATCTTGGGGCTACTCTTTATTTTGTATCTCCCTATATAGCAATAATCTATATTGTTAGTCTAAAACATCTATCAAAACCTTTCTCAGTATCTACTCTAGTTGCTGATTAAGTTATAGCTAGACGGCTAAATAGAAATTGTCCCATCACACTCTCATAGATGGTAACCTTAGCAGATCTTGTCGAGTTATAAATGGTAGATTCTAATATCATTCTAGGCATGGATTTTTTAGTTTATTGTTAATACCGTGTCATCTATACAACTAGGATCATTTGCATTCACATTCCAAACGAACAAATCTTGTAATGGAAGGGTAGTAACTTAGTGCTTATAGGAACTTCATATGTTATCTTAAGTCAATAAAGATAATTTCCAATGGTATGCTTATCATCTGGTTGGGGTTAAGTATTAAAGCACTGAAACCCCAATTCTTGATTTAGTCCCAATATGCATGAGTTTCAAGAACTGTTCCCAAAACATCTTCCTAGAGTTCCTCTTGAAAGGGGAATAAATTTTGGGATAGATCTTCTTCCGGATACCTAAAATATTTCATTTCTTCCTTATTAAATGACTCCAACGGAGACTAAGAAATTGAAGTCCTAATTTATAGACATTCTATATAATTTCAAAAATCTAGTATCTCTCAATGGGATGGTCTAGGGTTTTTCATGAAAAAGAAAGATAGTTCCCTTTGAATGTTTATTACTTATCATAAATGGAAAAAAGTCAAAATCAAGAATATGTATCCCATCCCTAGGATTTATGATTTGTTAGACCAACATTAGTGTTCTAGGTAATATTCTAAGATAAATCTATGATCAATCTATCATCAACACACAATTAGAGATAGTGACATTCAAAAGACAACATTAAGAAATATGTATAGTAGTTACGAATTTGTCGGTATGTTTTTTCGATTAACAAATGATCCTACAACTTTCATGGACTTAATGAACATGGTTTCAAAACAATATTCGAACTTGTTCATTATTTTATTTATTTTTTATATCCACAATTATTCTTGGAATTAGAGGAGTGTGCAGCTCATCTAAGAGTTATTCACAAAAATCTCAAGGATCGCGTTCATACAATGTGAATTTTTATCATACTTCGTCTCTTTCCATGGTCATGTGGTATTTATCAAAGGAATCCGACTAGATTCTCCAAAAATATAGAAATTCAATCAATGACCCACACCATCCTTACAAATACATATAAAGAGTTTATTGGGTTTGGCTTGTTATTACGAGAGATTTGTTGAAAGATTTACCTCTATAGCTTCTCCCTTTTATGATGTGATAGAAGAATGTTTCAATGGTACGATGAGCGCACGAAGAGCTTACCCAAAATAAAAACCATTCGGACAAACATATGATATATTGTGACTCATCCAAGGTCTGCTAGGTTTTGTGTTTATGGAGTGAGCTAAGGTCATAGCTTATGCTTTGAGACAGATTCAGGTAAAAAAGAATAGCTACCTGACCGATGAGCTTTAGCATGAAGCAATAGTATTTGCCTAAAAGATTCGGTGACATTACTTGTATGGTTTTCGCGTAGATGTGTTCACAGTTCCTAATAGCCTTCAATATGTGTCAACCCTGAAAAAGTTGAATCTTCTTCATCGTAAATGGACAGAATTCCTAAAGGACTATGCTGTGAACTTGGTTTTCAATCGTGGTAAGCCCAATGTAGTGGTTGATACTCACATCAGACTCTTTATTGGTAGTATATCACATCATTAGAAAGAAAGAAATGAATTAGTAAAATATTTTCATTGACATACTTGCTTAGAAGTTGGGCTTATAGACACGTCAGATGGCATTGTAATAGATTAAAATAGATTTGAATCTTTATTGGTAGTAGAGGTTAAGGGAAAATGGGATACTGATCCTATATTTATTCTGTAACGACCTACAAGTTCACCCTTGAAGTTAGAGCATTCTCGAATCGTGACACGGCTTAATTGACCTCTCGAAGGTCTTGTACAAGCCCTTAGTCATCATTCATTGGATACATATATGAAAAGTACTATGGAATTAAAACTCTTCAAGCGAATAATATCTCAAAACATCTTCCATATAAAATGATAGAAATACTAAATCATCAATATTGTCAATGTTAGACTCAAGAATACTTGGAACACGGACAATAAAATGCGATATATAAACTTAGTTTATTACAATAATTTTAATGGCAGAAATCTTAAGATAGTAATTTCCTCGAATCATGTGAGGACATACCCCATCTTTGGTTGAAAGTGTCCTACTTTCAAAGCTTTTCTTCAAGACGCCTCTCACCTTCCACCTACAACTTTAGATGAAGACAAAATGTATAGAATTAGTGCATTTCATTTACTAAGTATGAAATAATGAATAAAATCATGACAAATGAACATTAACATGAAACATTCTCTTTTGAGTAAAAGATTATATTATAAGTATAAGAAACCACATTAACACCAGTGAACATATAAAAGTCATAACAAAGTAATATCAAACAATAATATATAATATGACATTCTCCTATTAAAGGTTATCCTAAGTCTTATTAAAGTAATTCAAGAAGAGACCGCCCACATACCCTCTTCAAGCTTACCTAAACAATCCTTAAGACTACCTAAGTTTAGATAATGCCCATTTCACCAAACAACTTTCCTATCTAGGGTTACTCTTAAGGCTCCCCTAAGTAAGACATGAAGAGACCATTCATATACCCCATCAACAACTTGACTAGGCAATCCTTAAAGCTACTCTAAATAAGTACTTATTCATTTACATGCTTTTAACACAAGCCATTGCCTTCATTAGTCCATTTAAGAGACATTCAACAATCAAGGACATTCACATAATGCTCTTGTAGAAGACCTAGAAACTCACATACTAATATCCTCAGAGCCAAATTGTGCAATATATAGATAGCGTCTCATTCCACTATCTGAAGTTCATAGTATTTGTCCAACACTAGCATGTACCCGATATGATGAGAATAGTCTGTAACGGACATAGACCATACTAGATAGGAAAGGAATCCGGAATCATAACATATTCCGATAAGGGTGTTCTACTTGCCATTGGTAGAACTAGGACACATCCCATGTAGGCATATGGTTAAGGAATATCAAGGGTTTCACTGTTCTCTAATGTTATCTTAGTTAGAGTAACTTCCCAAATGAACTTAGTCGGTACTAGCCTTTTTTCTCATAGTGTATTTAAATAATAGAGCCATATTAAGGGGTACCATATCCTATTCCTAACCCATTCACAACACACCTTACAAAAGTGGGTCAACTAAGGCTACATACAATGGCTAAGATGATAGCTCAATAACTTTAGTAAGGATGATTTCATGTCTTCCAACCAATTAACGCTACGTCCCTTATTCACACAAGAAGGGTACCATTATGACTTTTAACTTCAAGGATATCATAACCTTCTATTTAGGCTGAAGGTTTCACATAAATGAACTTCTAAACAATGTTATAGGTCACATGTCAATCACACATACAACACTAAGGATCTTTATCATACTAAGTCAAGAATCCATATTCGCATTCTACATGTACCAACTAAGGGACACAAGTCTACCAAAACAAGACACACACATACTTTTCCTTGTCCATATAGCCTATCATTTAAGAAGCACATAAGGACAACCAGTGTAAACCATAGGTCACCATATTGACTACTATAAATTCACAAATATAAATCACCACAAATATCCTATAATCAATCATGCAGCATCATACTTCAACATAAAGTAATATACAAAAAGACCTCAGTATAGCCTACTACAGACACATATGATCAACTAGAAGAACTTATGCTTTGACTTCACGTATACACACATAAGTCATCAAGACCTTCACAATACTCTTATATTCAAGTTATTACATATAAACTCATAATTCATAATGTAATGTCAACGAGGCCACATTGTTTCACAATTCATAAAGTAATGCCGATGAGGCCACATTATTCACACCGCCACAATAAGTTGAACATAGCCAAAATCATCATCATCTAAGACCTACACTACACAATATAGAGAAGGTTAGACTAACGTACCACCAATCACTTCACAACATCTCCAATCCATGACCGATTCAACCAATTCAATCCATATAGACTTTTACCAATAGACATGGACACCAATTCAATCAAAAAAAATGGTGAAGAAATCAGAGAAGCAAAAATCAATCAAGCGCCCCAAAAGGGCAAAGGTTGAAGGGCATCACTACCAATAACCTCGACGTCTTGTGACTCCAGAGGAATTCTTTCCAAGCTCGTTCGACACAAAGTCTACACAAGGCAATGTCGAGGCATCATGTTTCAATGTGGATAAAGAGCAAACAATGAATGTGCCTCCTATTGTAAAAGAAGGAACAACGAGTGAATCCTCACCAAAAGCGTCTCTTGGGGAAGAAGAAAAAAACAAGGGAAATCTCAGAAATGATGTCTCTTTCATCTTCTGAAAAATCTATTGAACTTTCTTCCCAAGATGCACATGTCTGTGATACTAAATCACATTTACAGATAACGATCTTCTATTTGGTGAAGCACTACACAATCGTCCTTTGTATATGGTGGGTCATGTGCTAGAGAAGAAGATAAATAGAATCTTAATAGATGACGGATCAGGAGTCAACATTTTACCTATCCACACATTGAAGGAACTTGGCATCACGACTGGGGAACTTAGTGAAAGTCGTCTTTTGATACGAGGATTTAGTTTAGGCGGGCAGAGGTCCATAGGCTCTATTAAATTAGACATCCACATGGGATATTTGAGATCAAGCGCATGGATGCATGTGATTGACGCAAAGACATCATACAATATATTACTTAGTAGGACTTGGGTACATGAGAATAGAATTGTCTCATCTTCTTACTACCAATGTTTGAAATATCTTGAAGGTGGAATTGAAAGAAAGATAGTTGCAGATGATAATCCTTTCATCGAAGGGGAGACACACTTTGCGGATGCGAAATTCAATATGAGAAGTTATGTTGTTAAAGGGGTCAAATCCAATGATGTCAAATCAATCAAGATTGATAATATCGTAAGAAAAAGAATTGATGCAGCTATCGAAAAGGTGAAAATTAACACTAAAGACTCTTGTCCCATCCTTAATGAAGGGAAGATCCTGTCTTCAAAAAAGAAGCAGACTTCTAGGTTTTGCTATGTTCCAAAAGTGGAGAAAGAACAAGATCAACCATTTAACCTTGAAGAAAATGCATTAAGAGGGCTAACTCTTCCTATCAGACGGATTGATGCAATAAACTTGTCTTCTAAGTTGCCAGAAAAGTTAGTCGTTGAAGATCAAGTGCTAGATATGGCTCTCCCTACAAAGCGCACAAGAGAAGATTTTGATCCCAATGCCTACAAGTTATTTGTGAAGGCAGGATACAACCCTAGCAAGCCATCAGCACTAGGGAAACTCCCATCAGAAGATACAACTAGGAAAGCGCGTGAAGGCCTAGGTTATAGCCAACCGCCGCCAATTCGCATTTCCATAAGAAGGGCTAGTAATAATCATATAACTTTTGAAGATGACGTCACTGCTCCCAATAAAAGGCCTTCTGTCTTTGATCAACTTGGCGAAGCGACAACAAGAATTTTTTTGTTTGAGAGGTTAGGTTCTCTAAAGAAGAATAACAAGAACCTGAGAAGTAATTTAAAAGTTACAACGCCTGCTTCACATTTAATTCGAAAAGATTTCAGAAGTTTGATTCCTTCTAGGATGAGGCGACGAGTGGAACTTATGGTTTCCTGTAAAGAGGAACTCAAGGCAAAGGTTCATACTGTGGTTTACACCAAAGAGCGCGAGGAAGATGAAGAAAGTGTAGGTTCCTCAAATCATGTTACAATCCAAAATGAGTACGATTCTTTGCCTCAATATTGTCTCGTGTTGTCATATATCAGTCAATGACAATGATCCTGTGGAAAAGGAAGATGCTAAAGATGCTCCTCCAGAACTTGAAGAAGCAGTAAAGATCACAATAGATCCTTTGAAGGAAGTTAACCTTGGCACTGATAAAGATCCGAAGCCAACTTACTTGAGTGCGTTTCTAGAAATTTATGAAGAAGTCGCTTACATGAATATACTCAAATAATATAGAGATATATTCACTTGGAGTTACAAAGAAAGGCCTGGATTGAATCCTATTGTAGCGGTCCATCAATTGGCAGTCAAAAATGGATCTCGTCCAGTTAAACAAGCTCAAAGACGTTTTAGACCAGACATGATTCCATTGATAGAAAATAAAGTTAACAAACTCATTGAGGCAGGCTTTATTCGTGAGGTCAAATATCCTACATGGATTTCAAGTATTGTTCCTGTGAGGAAGAAGAATGGTCAAATTCGAGTTTGCGTTGACTTTAGAGATCTCAATAATGCATGCCCTAAAGATGAGTTTCCTCTTCCCATTTCAGAGTTGATGATTGATGCCACCACTGGTTATGAGGCAATGTCATTCATGGATGGTTCTTCTAGATATAATCAAATCCGCATGTCACCAAAAGATGAAGAACACACTGCATTTCGCACGCCAAAAGGTATTTATTGCTACAAAGTGATGCCATTTGGTTTACAGAATGGTGGCGCCACATATCAAAGGGCTATGCAAAATATCTTTGACGATTTTCTCCATAAAAATGTTGAATGTTACGTTGATGATTTGGTAGTGAAGTCGAGGAAAAGGGCTGATCATTTGAAAGACTTAAGGATGGTGTTTGAGTTACTTCGAAGATATCAATTAAGGATGAATCAATTGAAATGTGCCTTCGAAGTTACTTCCGTCAAGTTCCTTGTCTTTATTGTGAGACATCGAGGGATTGAAATTGATCAAGCCAAAGCTGATGCAATATCAAAGATGCCTGAACCACGAGATATCCATGAGTTAATAAGTCTCCAAGGAAAGTTATCCTACTTGAGAAGGTTCATCTCAAATCTAGCAGGGAGATGTCAACCATTCAGTCATCTCATGAAGAAAGGTGCTTCTTTTAATTGGGACCAAACATGTAGCGAAGAGTTTAAAAGTATCAAATCATATCTAGCAAAACCTCCGGTTTTGGCAGCCCCTATACCTGGAAAACCATTGATACTCTACATTGCAGCACAAGAAAGGTCTGTAGGAGCCCTGTTAGCTCAAGAGAATAGTGAAGGCAAAGAAAATGCTCTTTATTACTTAAGTAGAATGATGACGCCAAATGAGCTGAATTATTCGCCAATTGAAAAGTTATGCTTTGCACTGGTCTTCTCAATTCAAAAGATGAAGCATTATTTTCAAGCTCATGTTGTCCGTCTTATTTTTAGAGCAAATCCCATCAAGTTTATTATGTCAAAACCTGTCCTTAGTGACCAACTAGCAAGATGGTACCTCCAATTCCAACAATTTGAGATTGTGTACATCCCTCAAAAATCCGTGAAGGGACAAGCACTAGCGGATATCTTAGCAGACCATCCTATACCAAATGATTGGGAGTTAACTGATGAGTTTCCTGATGTAGATGCGATGTTAATTGAAGTTCAACCTCCTTGGAAAATGTACTTTGACGGGGCTGCACATCGCGGCGGAGATGGTGCTGGCGTGGTGTTCATCACTTCACAAGAACAGATTCTACCATTCTATTTTACTCTAAAACAATGTTGCTCCAATAATGTCGCTGAATATCAAGCACTGATACTTGGACTTGAAATGGTCGTTGACATGAAGCAATTACATTTACAGGTCTTTGGTGACTCTCAATTGGTGATTAATCAACTCTTAGGAAGTTATGAGGTAAAAAAGCCTGAATTGCGACCTTATCGTGATTATGCTCAAAAGTTGATAAGATGTCTTGGGGATGTAACCCTTCAACATGTGCGTCGAACAGAGAATAAGAAAGTTGATGCATTGGCTACTCTAGCTTCAACGCTAACCCTTCCTGATTAAACGCAAGTAACTGTCTGTCAAAAATGGATAGTACCACCGTCAAATGAGGAAAAATATATTGAAAATAAGTTTGATCATATCGTCGCCATTGTTGAAGCTGCGAAGGAAGATTGGAGACAACCCATCATTGACTACCTATGTTATGGGATACTTCTAGAAAATCCAAGAAGAACAACTGACATACGTCGTCGTGCACCTCGATTCCTTTACTACAAGGATACATTATATAGAAAGATCATTTGAGGGTATGTTATTACGATGTTTGGGAGAGGAAGAAATGATTCAATCCCTACAAGAAGCACACTCAGGAGTATGTGGATCACACCAAACTGGACCAAAACTTCATTTTCACATAAGAGGATGGGGTATTACTGGCCAACCATGGTTAAAGATTGCTTATATTATGCCAGGAAATGCGATGCTTGTCAATCTTATGCAAATTTTATTCATCATCCACCAGAAGTATTGCACGCAACCATCGCATCTTGGTCGTTTGACGCTTGGGACTGGATATTGTAGGACCATTACCAAAGTCTTCTGGTGGACACTTGTACATCTTGGCTGCAACTGATTACTTTTCAAAATGGGCTGAAGTTGTCGCTCTTAAAGAGGTGAAGAAAGAGAATGTTGAAAATTTTATCCGAGTAAATATTATCCATTGCTTTGGCATCCCTCGCTATATAATAACAGACAATGGCAAACCATTTGATAACAAGTTATTGAACAAGATTTGTGATCTTTTTGACTTTAAACAGCGTAAATCTTCTATGTACCATGCTGCCGCAAATGGTCTTGCTGAATTATTCAATAAGACTCTATGCAACCTGCTCAAGAAAGTTGTCTCCAAATCCAAACGGGATTGGCATGAAAGAATGGAAGAAGCTTTGTGGGCATATAGGACAACATATCGTACACTAACTCAAGCAACACCATATTCACTTGCTTTTGCAGTTGAAGCAGTCCTGCCACTCGAGCGTCAAATACCCTCCTTAAGACTTGCTATTCAAGAAGGGCTCACTGAGGAAGAAAATACTCGACTGCATCTTGCTGAGTTAGAAGAACTTGATGAAAAGAGGTTAGAAGCCCAACAAAACCTTGAATGTTATCAAGCTCGTCTATCTCGTGCTTTTAATAAGAAGGTTCGCTTGAGATGCTTTCAAGTTGGAGATCAAGTTCTCGCGGTAAGAGGACCGATCATTACTTCGCACAAGTCTGGGGGCAAATTTACCTCAAAGTGGGATGGACCATATGTCGTACAAGAAGCATATTCAAATGGTGCTTACAAGCTTGTTGATGCTAATGGCTTAAGGATCGGTCCTATTAATGCCAAATTTCTAAAGAGATACTATCCTTGAAGGAAAATGATGCTCCTTAAGGTACGATCCTAAACTGCATGTCACTCCTGGCCCGCAAGAGTATAAATTGTGTACGGCACCACCACAAAAATAAAAGAATAAACACTCAAATCCCCAGAACTACGTTGTGACTTGATCCTCTTTATTGAGGTATGTAGACGCTTAGAACCATATTCTAAGTTAAATTGCATGAGTGTCAAAAAAAATGTTCCCACTTGATCTATTGCATGAAAGTCAAAGCGATATACATTTTATTTTTATCTTTGTCTCATCAAACTTAAGACTTGCACGAAGCATTGATGGGTTTATGGAAAGGGCAAACCCTTATAAAATATGAATCTCTTATTAGTATGGTGGAAGTCTTTAAATTAGATCAAGTATGCAAATTGGAGTCTTCATATTTTTCGAGTTTATTATTTGAAGTATCCAAATTCTCTAAGTATACAGGTTAAAGTATTCAAATACTCTAAGTATGAAGGTAAGACTTCAAGTATATAAGTAGAAGTCTCCAAATGTGTATGTAATTGAATTCCATGCCTAAAGATGCGCGAGATTTGTCCCTTTGTACCTTAAGCTAGCTTTGTTGCGGATTATCCCTTAAAAGAATCTTTTTAAATTTTCATGTCTTAAGGTGGACAATATTTGTCCCTTTGCACCTTAAGTTGACCATTTCACTAGTGTATATTTAAAATGATCTTTAAATTTTTCATGCCTTAAGTTGTAGGACATTTGTCCCTTTGCACCTTAATCTAGTTTTGTTGCGAGCTTATCCTTCAACGAATCTTTAAATTTCTATGCCTTAAGGTGGACAAACTTGTCCCTTTGCACCTTAAGATAGAGTTCCGACGAATTTATCTTTAAAAGGATCTTTAAATTTCCATGCCTTAAGGTGGACAACATTTGTCCCTTTGCACCTTAAACTGGTCTTTTCACGGGTATATCCTGTCTCAAGTTCGTTAAGCATTCAGGACCTTGTAACACCTTGAGTTTATCTTCAAGGCGGGAGCGTTACACGGTATCCTATTAAAGCTTCAAGTTGGTTACACATTCGGAACCTTGTAAAACCTTGAGATTATTTTCAAGGGGGGAGCGTTACACGGTATCCTATTAAGCTTCAAGTTGGTCAAGCTTATCCTTCAACGAATCTTTAAATTTCTATGCCTTAAGGTGGACAAACTTCTCTCTTTGCACCTTAAGCTAGAGTTCCGACGCATATATCTTTAAAAGGATCTTTAAATTTCAATGCCTTAAGGTGGACAATATTTGTCCCTTTGCACCTTAAATTGGTATTTTGACGGGTTTATCTTGTCTCAAGTTGGTTAAGCATTCAGGACCTTGTAACACCTTCTGTTTATCTTCAAGGTGGGAGCGTTACACGGTATCCTATTAAAGCTCCAAGTTGGTTAAACATTCGGAACCTTGTAACACCTTGAGATTATTTTCAAGGGAGAGCTTTACACGGTATCCTATTAAGCTTCAAGTTGGTCAAGCTTATCCTTCAACGAATCTTTAAATTTCCATGCCTTAAGGTGGACAAACTTTTCCCTTTGCACCTTAAGCTAGAGTTCCGATGGATTCATCTTTAAAAGGATCTTTAAATTTCCATGCCTTAAGGTGGACAATATTTGTCCCTTTGCACCTTAAACTGGTCTTTTCACGGGTTTATCCTGTCTCAAGTTGGTCAAGCATTCAGGACCCTGTAACACCTTGAGGTTATCTTCAAGGCGAGAGCGTTACACGGTATTTTAGTAAAGCTTCATGGTTAAGCATTCGGGACCTTGTAACACCTTGAGGTTATCTTTAAGGCGGGAGCGTTACACGGTATTTTAGTAAAGCTTCATGGTTAAGCATTCGGGACCTTGTAACACCTTGAGGTTATCTTCAAGGCGGGAGCGTGACACGGTATTTTAGTAAAGCTTCATGGTTAAGCATTCGGGACCTTGTAACACCTTGAGGTTATCTTCAAGGCGGGACAGTTACACGGTTTTCTAGTAAAGCTTCATGGTCAAACATTCAGGACCCTGTAACACCTTGAGGTTATCTTCAAGGCGGGAGCGTTACACGGTATTTTATTAAAGCTTCATGGTTAAGCATTCGGGACCTTGTAACACCTTGAGTTTATCTTCAAGGCGGGAGCGTTACACGGTTTTCTAGTAAAGCTTCATGGTCAAACATTCAGGACCTTGTAACACCTTGAGGTTATCTTCAAGGCGGGAGCGTAACATGGTATCCTATTAAAACTTCAAAATGGTTAAGCATTCAGGACCTTGTAACACCTTGAGGTTATCTTCAAGGCGGGAGCGTTACACAGTATTTTAGTAAAGCTTCATGGTTAAGCATTCGGGACCTTGTAACACCTTGAGGTTATCTTCAAGGTGGGAGCGTTACACGGTATTCTATTAAAAGCTTCAAGTTGGTTAAGCAATCGGGACCTTGTAAAACCTTGAGGTTATTTTCAAGGCGGGAGCATTACACGGTGTTCTAGTAAAGCATTAAGTTGGTTAAGCATTCGGGGCCATGGAACACCTTGAGAGTTTTATTTATTTATTTTGTTAAGGCATGGCCGTTAAGCACATTTTTATGTGATAAATCCTTCCATTATGTAGCCTCCATAAAATATAAAATTCCTTTTGCTTATCTACAAAAAAAAAAAAAAGGGAACTACAAGTGAAGGAGAGATTGTTACCACTCAAGATGTTTGAGACTCGAAAGGTATTAAATCTTGAATCTTGGATGTGTTGTATACCTTTATGTCAAGATTAGGAATCACTAAGTGGATTGTGATTTCGCTGTTCCAACGTCAAGACAAGAGATTTTTAGTAAGTCACACAAATCTGAAATTTTTTGCATGACAGAATTTAGAGCTAACTTCAAAAAATCATCTAGAAAGATTCTGAAGGTGTTAATTTTTTAATTTTGGATATGTTAGAGATCGAAAATCCTTGTTTCTGAAAACTCAAACGGTTCATGATTTTGATTTTTCTACAATGAGATATGAATATTCTACGATGAACATGTCAGGCTGTAAAAAAAGTGACGAATTTTTAGCATGACAGAATCTAGAGCTAACTTCAAAAAATCATCTAGAAAGTTTCTGAAGGTATTAAATTTTGAATTTTGGATATGTTAGAGATCAAAAATCCTAGTTTCTAAAAAATCAAATGGTTCATGATTTTGATTTTTCTACAATAAGATATGAATTTGCTACGACGAACATGTCAGGCTGTAAAAAATGTGACGAATTTTTAGCATGACAGAATCAAGAGCTAACTTTAAAAAATCATCTAAAAAGATTCTGAAGGTATTAAATTTTGAATTTCGGGTATGTTGGAGATCTAAAAGTCTAGTTTCTGAAAAATCAAAGGTTTCATGATTTCAATTTTTTTACAATGAGATATGAATTTTCTACGACAGACAGGTCAAGCTGTAAAAAAGTGACGAAAATAAATAAAAAAAAGAAGGAAAATTACCTTGAGTATGCCCTTTTCGTCGTACACTCACAATCTGTAATTGAAGATTAAATTATGGAGACAATGTATCTATTTATAGATGTCATTTGGTGGGATAGAATCCTTCTCCTAGTTCAATTATAATTTCTTTTTGGCTTGGACAATAAAACATATTATGAATATGAAATTGAGTAGG